GTTATTTTGACGGCACAAAGCAGCAAGGCGGCAATGAGACATACGGAATGGCACGGGTGGAGGAAAGGGAGGGGCAGCTTGCTGGCCATAGGATCTCGGCTTCATTGCTACCCAAGTTCGAGGCAAGGGGATCAACGGCCGGTGTTCATAACGGCAGCATCCACACAACGCAGATGGGAAAGGTATCAGCTATGTATAGATGCCACAGACCTGAGCCTCGAGATAAATCCGGACTTCTGGCCAAGGCCTCTATACGCCCGGCCATGGGAGTACTGAGACCGTCCGAAGCCCAACTGACAACACCCTGCCAGCGCTGCGAAAGATGACCCTACACCTGATGGTGCTGACAGCGCTTACAGAGACAGTACGGCATCAGCTGGCGCCCCCCCCCCCCCCCCCATTGATCAGTGCAGCGCCGCCGCTCCGCCGCTACGCTGGCTAGTGACCAACGCATTTGGTCTCACCAACAAGCTGGAAGCGTGGCAGCATGCACTGCTCAACGATAACGTTGGCATAGCAGTTATCACAGAAACGAACTTCTCGGCCAAGACTGTAGCCTCTGAGACGATATTTCCAGGATACTCGCTTCCCATCCAACGTGACCGGGATGCATTTGGCGGCGGCATTGCTGTATGGGTGAAGTCCGGCCTCCCAGTAGAGCACCTCGACCAGATTCCCACTGATGACCACGAAGTCCTCCGACTCGCAGTGAGTCTTTCTACGCAACAATCTGTTGTTATCGGTGCCTTGTTTCGGCCTGGATCCTGTGCGGACAACGACACCTGTCTGATTGAGTATCTTGGACCTGCACTATACGTGGCCGGCACTCACGGCACTCACATAGTGCTAGCTGGGGATTTTATTGTCCATCAAGAGACTTGGCTCTGCAGCAGTAAAACAAATGTAGCTGGACAAGCATTGGAAGAACTGTGTGCTGAGCCTCAACTTCACCAGCATGTCTTGCAGCCGACTAGGGGTCTGAACACCCTGGACCTCATTCTCTCCAACATGCCCGTTTCTATCGACACCACTGCCAAAGCGCCACTTGGTTGCTCTGACCATGAGGTTGTTCTTGCCGACTTTTAACTCACCCCTGATGCTGAGCAAGCTATCTCCAGGACTGTCTGGCGCTACAATCAGGCAAACTGGGGGCACTTCTGACTGGTCCACCATTGCGACTGACGACCCTGAAGAGTCCTGCAGGAAGCTAAGTGACGTCATCTCCAGCGGGATGCAGAAATTTATCCCCGCCAAGCAGATTGTTACCCGCCTGGATCGATTGAGTAGCTGGGGGGAACAATGGCTGGTTCGCCTTGAGCCGACAAAGTCGCAGCTGCTGCATATTAGTCACCACCGCAACCCCTAGCCACTCCCAGAACTAACATTCAGAGCCCATGATATTCCCAGGGTGGACGAGCTGAAGCTCCTGGGAGTGACTTTCGACAGCAAACTCACCTTCAGACGCCATCTTCGCAATGTTTATCTTCGTGCTGTCGCCCGGCTAGGATTTCTGCGTCGAGCATCAAGTTTCCTTGGTCGTGAAGTACGCTGGACAACGTACAGAGGCTTCGTACGCCCTGTACTCTAATACACACCACTGATATGGATGGGCGCAGCCAACTCTCACCTGTAAAGTATCGACCGAGCACAGCGGAAGGCCCTTTCTATCATTGGTCCTGACGCCTTGCGGCAGAGGGTAGCTGCCCGCCGCCAAGTGTATGCTCTAACGTACATGTACAAGCTAATGTGCCTTCAGAACCGTGTCCGCCATCAGCATCAGCTACAAACAGTGTTCCTCCTTGTGGCCCCCAACTTTCTCGAGCGTTCGTTCCCATAATTGGGGTGTAGTGGATGAATGAAACAGGCTTTCGCAAGAAATGTGTCCGGAACCGATACCCCAGTTGAAGTCTCTCCAATCCTTCAAGACGAAGGTCCACCGCCACTTGCGTCAAAATAATTGGCTCTGGGCTGTGGACTCCCTGTGAGGCTATGTCACCCGTCAACTACCTTCGTGCATCATCTCATTCTTGTTTTATTTTATTTCATTTCTCTTTCTCGTGGCTCTCTCTCTTTCTCTATCTCTCTCTCTCTCTCTCTATCCCTCTCTCTCTCTCTCTCTTTTTTTCTCTCTCTCTCACACACTCTCACTCTTACTCTCTCTCTCTCTCTTTCTCTCTTGATCTCCCTCCCTTCCTAGCTGCATTGCTATCAATGCCAGGTCGTAGACTATGATTCTGAGACCTCCGGTCGGATGAGCCTCGCCAACCACATCGGCACATTGCCCCTACTCCCCTTTGTCTTGTTGCCTAGTGCCATTTCAGTAAACTGTTGTCCCCTTCCCCTGATTATTGGAAGGGCTGTGTTTGCTAGTAAAAAAAGGAAGAAAGAAAAAAGTGCTCCACAGAAACAACATGAAATTATTACAGAAACAATACAGGGGGGGGGGTTGTTCTAAGGGGAAAGTAGGTAAAAAATGAGAGAGTCTAGAAGTGCATGGAAGAGGGAACAGAGTTAGAGCATTTTCGTCTTTTGTCTTTAGTTCGTAGCCTGTACATTACCCACTCCCAGGGGGTAAAGTGCAGGT